GGCAATGAGCTTGCTGACACACTTGCTAGGAAGGGGACAATGATTTTGCAATGCATGGACCGGCCAATGTCTTAATCAGGAGAGAATTCCATACCTCAAGGTGCAACGAAATTAAGGCTCGAACAAAGGAGAAACAGTGGACAGTGGCACTCTCCAACATAAACGACTGGCCAAGAATCGAAGCCGTTGCTGAGTTTAGAATACGTACCGGACACGATTGCTTGGCAAAACACCTTCACAGATTGGGAGTATACACTCAACCCACATGCCCTCTATGTAACCTACAGGAGGAAATGGAGAAGACCCACCTGATTTGGTGACCAGCCCTAAAGGCAACGACGGAAAGCCAAAGGTACTGGGAAGCAAGAAGACAGCTAATGAATTGCTATTAATTAACTGCTATAAATGTACCCCTCACCCTTGGGGAAGCTGAAGTCAAAGTTTAAGGGCTAATGATAAATATCACAAAGCCTGCCATTTGAAATAAATAAATAAATGATAAAAATTCTGACACAAAATCTGATTTCCAGGAAATGACATATTGGGCAATATTCCGTGATGGCTAAATGTCTGCAATTATTTTCCCTTCACGAGCATGAATCAAAACGCACCCTACTTCAGGCTTTTCGAAGATGAAAATAGAAAACGCAAAGGAAGGAAAGACAACGCAACTTGTGTCATCATCTTCATTTTGCATCGACGAATTCTCCAGGCGCGCCTTCGTTCAGATTAATAAATGCACTTAAAGATGCGTACATGCTCATGCCAATAAGAGGTGATGCGATAACAGCTCACATCGGCCGGAGTTGGTTGAGTGTGCCGATTAGCCAACTCATGAGAGCCCGGGTGGCAAATACACCTCGGTTGCTGTTTCCAGCCTAGTTTGAGTGAATATTGAGCAATAACAATACGTGGAAACCCGCGGCATCGGTGTTGCTAACTCGGAGGTGTTGTTCCGGTGTGACGGGCCTCCCAGGCTCACCGATTCTGAGCTTCAGCTTGGCGCCACTGAAGCGTTCGACCGAGGGATGACCCGCCCGACTTTTGCATGCGTCCAAGTGAAGGTAAAATTTGCTCATCCACAATCAACTCGCTCATAGTAGCTTAAATACTACACTCCAACACTTAATGGCATCTTCAGTAATCGTCCTCTTAAATGTTTGTCATTGCCGAATCGATGTGCATCGAGGCATCCCTAAATTTAAGTCGCAATTGTAGAAAACTTTATCAGTGCGTGAAGTAGGCGCATTGGCTGATGAACTATTTTGAGATGCCATATGTCAAGAAAATCATCATCTGTGTCTGACAGAGCAGAATTAACGACCATGCTGTTCAATGGTCAGCTAATGTGACGTGTATGACCTTTGTGCTACGTTTTTTAATAGATTAAAAGTGCCAAAATTTTCCTCTCCTCTATTTATGGACTGGAATTCGCGTGTATCTAGCAACTTGAACAACAAGCAATAATTTATAGGGATTGGAGTTGTTTGAACCAGTTAATTACACATAACATAAAATGCTTATATTCATTAGAAGTCTTGTACTTACAATGAGTGTGTACAGTGGTAATGAAATTAATATCACTGAGATCATTTTTTAACATTGGAAGTACACATATCCAAGTGAAATCAATCTCATTCAATTGACATAATGTTTCAATGATTTGGCAACAACGCAGTGATTAGGCCCACAACTACACAAGTTGTGAATCGTTTGGCTGAGTATCCATAAAGGCCGATCAAAAATGATAGTGATGACGGAATTCTTGGTTTGCTGGCCCCTACCACATTTGTTCTAACCCTAAACTGTAACTTTACCTCTTATATTGACTGTTGAAGCAGTGTAAGATCAGTGAAATTAAATTCCGAAGATGGTAGATAATTCAACTGATTCTGAACCATGGCACTGGTACTGTCACGGTGTTCAATTGAGTTGGTTCTCATCAATTTTGCGATTTCAATCTATTTACCCCATTTAATTTTCCGTCAAACTGCGTCAAAAATCAATAATGCACTTAAGATACAATCAGCCTATTTGGAACAGAAGTGAAATTATTTGTCTTCTTAGAGTAGTGGCATAACTAACTTTCTTAATTAGCATTTATGTTGGGATTTCATGATCGCAAATTCATAGATTTATAGTTTCCATTACCTTAGATCGGCTCCCAAATAAGTACAAATAATGTAGATTTTTTTCTTTCATCAGAACATGATACCCCAAATTAATAGAAGCTTATTTCCAATAAGAAACAAAGATATTCTGCCACGTTAGCCTGAAGTAGCAGATATATTGTCACTCAAATCCAAATTCACGAAATGGTATGAAGTATTCGTAACGGTGATTTAAATGTAGGCAAAAAGGAATAATCATAAATTTTGCAAATAGGGTTTACATGGCACGATGGAAATCTCATCCTTCAAATACTACCTTCACTTGGACGCATGCAAAAGTCGGGTGGGTCATCCCTCGGTCGAACGCTTCAGTGGCGCCAAGCTGAAGCTCAGAATCGGTGAGCCTGGGAGGCCCGTCACACCGGAACAACACCTCCGAGTTAGCAACACCGATGCCGCGGGTTTCCACGTATTGTTATTGCTCAATATTCACTCAAACTAGGCTGGAAACAGCAACCGAGGTGTATTTGCCACCCGGGCTCTCATGAGTTGGCTAATCGGCACACTCAACCAACTCCGGCCGATGTGAGCTGTTATCGCATCACCTCTTATTGGCATGAGCATGTACGCATCTTTAAGTGCATTTATTAATCTGAACGAAGGCGCGCCTGGAGAATTCGTCGATGCAAAATGAAGATGATGACACAAGTTGCGTTGTCTTTCCTTCCTTTGCGTTTTCTATTTTCATCTTCGAAAAGCCTGAAGTAGGGTGCGTTTTGATTCATGCTCGTGAAGAGAAAATAATTGCAGACATTTAGCCATCACGGAATATTGCCCAATGTCATTTCCTGGAAATCAGATTTTGAGTCAGAATTTTTATCATAATGCTGTGAAAGCATAGCTCAAGCCTCAAATCACTAGAACTGCCGGCAGGCCGGGGTTGGTTGTTTGTGCTGGAATGCCATCCCGTGAGAGCCAGGGTGGCGAAATTCTCGGTTGCTGCCTTTCAGTCAATAAAAAGCGCAGCAATTCTCAAACATTGGAGAGGCTGAGTTATCGGTGAAGTGGAAGGCTGGAGGTGTTCGGTGGGTGTGCTAGAGCCACCAGTTTCATCGATGCTGCATTGCGGTAGTGGCACAGCCACAATGCTCGACCGAGGCGCTTCCCACCCTCTTTAGTGTCAATTGACTTTTGCTACGCTACATAGTCAATGTGAATCCACTTTTAAACTCACTTCTATCTCAGTCTAATTGCATGAATTGTCGGAGCAAACCTGATATACCTGTGGTGCATGGAGAATGATAGATTGATGTTAGTCTTATATTACATGTACTGCCATGTAAAATGGCAGTCAATCACCTGATTCAACACAAACCCTATTCCTCTACCAAAGTGTCCAAATACTTTTGCACGCTGATTTTACCGAAAGTCACTTGTCCAATCCAGCTGTCAAAAAGGCTTCGAAAGAAAATGGTCGATTAACGTAACAGTTTTATTCGAGAATAGTAATATTTACGCAATTATAGGGAATATACGAAATAGTAAGCACATATGGCGGAAAGACAAATCAACTTGTGTCAACATCTTCATTTTGCATCGATGAATTCTCTAGATGCACCTTCGTTCAGATTAATAAATGCGGTTAAAGATGCGTACATCCTCATGCCAATAAGAGGTGATGCGATAACAGCTCACAGCGGCCGGAGTTGGTTGAGTGTGCCGATTAGCCAACTCATGAGAGCCCGGGTGGCAAATACACCTCGGTTGCTGTTTCCA